TACAGGTACAAATTTTTGGATTCCCCACATACCTACTGGGTGGCCGATAATTAACTTTACCTTCATTACAATTAATAAACACAAAATAATATTTTTTTATAAAGGCACTTTGCAAAATATATGTTTGTTCATTTTCAGAACATTTTACATACAGTACTAATATTATTTTGAATCAAAAATTTTGATGATCAATTAGTGACTAGTTGGCATGAGAATGATGGTATGAACAGTCTGAAAAGATTTGATTTTGATAGATTGAACTACATGATTGAACGTGCATACTTTTGGTATGTACAATCAATTGAAGTAACAGAAATTACCAATTGTTTAATAAATATTTTGAATAAAAGTTAAACTTTACCAAATTTAAACTTTAAATATCAAAAAAAAAAGGAAAAAGAGTAACAAAGTTACACAATGAAAGTTAATTATCGGCCACTCAATACATGTTATTTCCAAAAGAAAAACGTTATATTTTTCCCCCAAATAATATAAAAAAAAGACCAAAAAACTTGCCTTGCTGCGAATGCCTCTACGTTTAGATTTCTTCATTTTCTAGAGTGTGAAACGTGTGATACAAATATTTATATATAAATATATATTATAATTATTAAAAATAATACGTTTAAGCATATCACGAGAAATTTAAAAAAAAAACCTTGTTCAGTTCAAAAACAATATTAGATTTCGTAAGTGAGAAACGAAAAATTTAAATAAACATCGTGTCTTCCTCCACCCGTTGTTCACTTTTACCAAAAGAAAAAAAGGGATGGAAGCTTTGATGGACTTCTCCGGGCAAGAAAAAACGTGTTTGTTTGGTTGCATACGCAGCATAATCTATTATTCGTGCTGTTTATCCTGATAATCCATGCGAAACCAATTGCATTAACAGAAAGTTTGAACGAAATCAGTGAATTGTAAATAAATGATGAATTTAAAAAGCAGTCGCGGATAAATGTAGTGAAGCTTGTTTAATGTAATGTTGATTTTGAAATTTGTACTTTTCCAATGAAATAAACGCATTGCAGAAACGCGACAACGACCAAAGTAATAGTGAATTGTACAGTCTGCTTGTAGCGGGAAACAAAAACAACACTCTCCCCATGGATTAGAGATTAGTGTCACCCAGTGCTTTAAAAATTTGTTATGTAAAGATTGAAATTTATTATTAAATTTATGTTGAAAGTTGTCTGCAATTTATTCGCATTTCCCACGTTTGATATTTCAGGGTATTAAATTGAAAGAAATTTCTGATGAACAAACAAAATAAATATATTTTCCTACTGTGTATCATTTAAAATAAGGTACGACTACATTTACTGGAAGTCAACTTTATCTTTAGTAGCCCTTCCTTCCTCTAAATCTGGTTCGATTGTCCAGCTAAAAACAAATAATTACATTAAATCTATATGTTTATATTATCTTCAATTAAATAATTACCATTGATCGTTTACATTCGAAAAACGTGTTTCTGAGCACTTGGCATTCGGTGGGGACAGAACCGTCGGTCACGTTCAGACATTCACGAGGAGTTTTCTTTTGCTGCAATTGCAAATAAATCAATTACATTTTAATATACATATAAATAAATTATGATCGTAATATTCAAATACTGAAAATAATAAATCAAAGCAAATTAAATACGTGGAATCTCAATTAACAAGTTTAATCCGTTCCAAAATTTCCGGATTTTTACTCGTATCCAAATATATTAAAAAATACACATATTATGTGTATACAAGTTATAACAATTATGTAGCATGCGCGCAATCCGGAACTTCTTTTCTCATCGTCACTCGTTATGCGAAACGTCTCTCGTTAAGCAAGGCATTTTGCTCGTTATGCGAGGTATATTTGTTTGCAAACTAATTGCATTCGTCACGTTTGCAGTAGCTTATCTAAATTGGGGATTTTTGCATATCAGAAATGCAGGAGTCGAGGGAATCCTAGATTTTAACATGTTTATAATTTAAGTTTACGTCCATCAAATAAGTCCAATATTCTGGACTGTTTGAAACCTTACAAAAACAGATTTTAAACCGGACTATGTAACTATTGTATGACTACACTTTGATCAGAGCTCAATGAGCCATGAAGTGAAGTTCATTATTACTGATATCAAATCAAATCAAATTCTTCCAAATTTAAGAAGAATACAATTTTTAGTCCACCCATATTTTTCTTCTTATTGAATCATCTCCTTGAAATACATGAAAGAACTTATAAATTCTTTATGAAAATGTATTGAAGGACAAGAACAAGCTTAATTTAAGTTTATTCCAATCTTCCAAATAAAATATTTATTACACTTATACAAGATAAGTTTATTACTTTAAAAAGTGGAAATGAATGCTTGTTTTACCACTTTAGAAAACAAGAGTTTGAAGGTATTAGTTTCAGTATGTTTTCTATAAAATTTGAAGGTGTTAGTTTCAGTATGTTTTCTATAAATATAATTTCTAATTGAATCAATTTCCANTTCAAATAACACAAACTAATCTTAAATCACAATGTCTTTCTATTGATTTAAGCCTAAATATATTAGAAAAGACATACAAATGTATGAATAAATCATTGCCATATATCTAAATAATACTCACCAATCGACAGCAGTCACTCTGCAGAAGGCACATTTTCAAATCAGCTCTGACACCAGCACATGCACTCTG